AGGGTTAAGGGATTGGCTGCCTTTGATCTGCAAACATGACTCTGAGCTTCCTTGTGGCCACATCAAAAAGAAAAATGTGATCAGTGGTTGAATTTGGATGATCAAAAATCAGGAAGCAACCCAGTTCCTCAGGGGAAGTAACATTCCTTACCCTGGATCCCCAGAGCATTTCTCGCTGAGCAGGGGCCTTCATAAGGGGCACCTCGGGGGAGGCAGCGGGCAGCATCATCCACCAGGAATCACACAGCATGGCAGGTGTGATTCTCATGGGGTAGCTGCCTGTAGAGACCTTGAGGGAAAGATGCAGGGAAATCTGAGAAGGCAGCCCAGGGGAGGCAGCTTTGTGGAGGACCTGGACTGGGAGGAAGGTCTGGGTTTTGAGGAGTCAGGGCTAAAGTTTAGAGGGTTTGGAATTGGGGGCTACTAACCCTTGAAGGAAGAGCTTGGGGGTCAGACTTCCCTGTTGTGTGGCCACAGGCAAACGGCATCATCTCTCTGGACCTCAGTTTTTGCATCTGCAAGCAGGAATTATCTTTCCAGGGGTATTGGAAGCATCGCCTGAAGTCCTGCAAAGTACAGAGTTTGACATATTGTGAGTACTCAAATGTTAACTATATGTATTATGCACAATTGACCCTTGAACAATACAGGGGTTGGGGCACTGCTCCCCTACAAAGTAAAAAATCCATGTTTGTTTTTTTTTTTTTGAGACAAGGTGCCACTCTGTCACCCAGGCTGCAGAGCTTACTGCAGCCTCCAGCTTCTGGGCTCAAGTGGTCCTCCTATCTCAGCCTCCCAAGTAACTAGGACTACAGGCGTATGCCACTACACCTGGCTGATATTTAACATTTTTGTGGAGACAGGTTCTCACTGTGTTGTCCAGGCTGGTCTAGAATTCTTGGCCTTAAGCAATCCCACCTCAGCTTCCCAAAGCACTGGGATTACAGGTGTGAGCCACTGTTCCCAGCCCCATGTATAACTTTTTATACCTTAAAACTTAACTGCTAGTAGCCTATGTTGACCGGAAGCCTTACATAAACAGCCCGCTAACAGACATTTTGTGTGTTGTATGTATTATTTACTATATTCTTATAATAAAGTAAACTGGAGGAAATGAAACGTTCTTAAGAAAATCCCACGGAAGAGCAAATATACTATATTCATTAAGTGGAAGCAGGTCACCCCAAAGTGCTCACCCTGTCTTCTTCACGTTGAAGAGGCTGAGGAGGGAGGGGAAGAGGAGGGGTTGGTCTTGCCATCTCAAGTGCGGCAGAAGCAGAAGAAAATACTTCCCGAAGTGGACCCGTCCAGCTCAAGTCTGTGTGGTTCAAGTGTCAACTACAGGCCAGGTGTGGTGGTTCATGCCTGGACTCCCCGCACTTTGGGAGGCGGGAGCAAGAGGACTGCCTGAGCCCAAGGGTTTGAGACCAGCCGGGGCAACCTGGCAAGACCTCGTCTCTACAATCAATCAAAAAGAAAAAATTAGCTGGGTATAGTGGCACATGCCTGTGGTTTCAGCTACTCAGGAGGCTGAGGTGGAGGGATTGCCTGAGCCTAGGAGGTCGAGACTGCGGTGGCTGTGAACATGCCACTGCACTCCAGTCTGAGCAACGGAGTGAGACCCCAACTCGAAAAAAAAAAAGTGCTGCATACACAGTTAGACACACGTTTTTCCTCAGTTCCCCTGTTGTGGTCGGGGTGGGGTAAGGAATATGAGTAACCAGACTTTACAGCTCTCTGCAATTTATAACAGGCAAAGGAGCCACTGTCACATCACAGGACTCTACCAATAGCATGAATGGGGGTTCTCACGCATCTGAGAGGTGAGAAGACTGCAACCTAGAGAAGCGAAACCCTTCTTAGTGCCTTCTGCCCTGCTCTTGGCCCCAGACTCCTGCACCTTCCCAGGCAGGGGCCTAAAATGGAGCGAGTAAGAGTGGAAGCTGAGAACAACAATAACAACAACAATTGCAAGAGCATCCTGCTTACCCTGCCACCGGCCCTATTCTAAGTACTTTACATGGGACATTTAATCCTCACAAACGTTGTGTGGGGTAGGAACTATTATTACCAAACCCAGCTTACAGAGAAGGCAGCTGAGGTGCAGTGAGGGTAACTAACTTGCCCAAGGTCACAGGGGAGCTCACGCAGACACAGAATGGGGACACAGGTGGTCTAGCTGGGACCCAGAGTCTGCTGTTCTGCCTGGACTGGGAGCAGAAACGGGTTTGGGACAGGAGAGATGAGTGTTAGGGGGTAAACTGGCGACTCGGCCCTCCCATATACTTCCAGGAAGAGCCGAGAGGCTGCAGAGGTGCGGGGTGGGGTGGGGGGTGCCTGGTAGAGTGTGCACCGACAGAGGACACGGACCCACGGAGGTCCTGGCAGGATGAGGAGTGAGGGATGGCCCAACAGGCCTGCCCAGAGGACGTCAGTACCACCCTGTGCCTGCCTAGTCTGGCCTCAGCTCGAAGATAAAAGATGTGGCCTCTGACCTGAAGCTACTCCCAGCCTAGCTGGAGAGCCCGACATGACGTTTTCGGCGAGGGCTGCACCTCTGCAGATGTTGTGTCAAGTGCTGGGTACTGAGTCCCTTCTCACCTACCTCTCAGGCTCAGTATCCAGCCCACTGCCAATGAGGGGCTGTGGTTGGGGGAAGTAGAGGGGAGAGAATGCCTGAATGCCCTTCCCCCCTCTCTGCCCTTTTTCTCTTTCTCTCTCCCTCCCTCCTTCTACCCTCCCTTTCTTTCTCTCTCTCTTTCTCTCTCCTTCCCTCCCTCTCACTCTCTTTCTTTTCCTTTCTTCTCTCTCTTTCTTACCAGTGGTGCAGCCTCAAACTCCTAGGCCCGAGTGATCCCACCTCCCACCTCCCACCTCCTACCTCCCACCTCCCACCTCAGCCTCCTGAGTGACTGGGACTACAGGTGCACACCACCATGCCTGGCTATTTTTTTATTTTTTGTAAAGACAGAGCTTTGCTGTGTTGCCCAGGCTGCTGTCTTCTTAGCTCATACAATCTGTGGCGGATTTCCTGTTCAACGTCTTCTTCTCATCCATACCGCCTAGGCCACCATGGACTACCACTGGGTTTTGGGATGGCAATGGAGTATCTCCTGGGAAGGAGAATGTGTCCAAGGTTTCTTGGGAAACCGGCCGTGTCCTTTAAAACCTAGCTTGGAAGCCACCTGCCCCAGGATGCTTCAGACTCCCAGGCTGGGCAACAGCCCTTCCTCTGGGCTTCTGGGCACTATGAGTTTGCCCATCCCGGCGCTCTCTGTCTGTCTTGTAGCTGTGAGCGCCTTCTGGGAAGGGACCCTAGTAAAGCCATTTCCTAGTTCCTGGCGCTGACACAGCCCACACAGGGAATGTGAACAGGATAATTTCTAATTTCTTCACCAAGGACACACTGGTGACGGGCATCAACCTGAGCCAATCATGGTCTCGGGGGCAGTGTAGCATGGGGTTAACAGCCCACTGTCAGTCTGGTTCAAGCCTGGTTCAAGCCCCAGCTCTCCTAACCCTACCTACCTGTGACTGTCCTAGCCCTACCTGCCTGCGTGGGTGTGGGTCCTCACAGTCGTCTGGACTGCATGCTCAGCCCAGTCTCTGGCATACCAAAGAGCCTACGGTGTGTCCCCTATTATTGCTGTGGGCACCAGTCAGGTGTTCTTTCATTCTGGGAGGGCATCTCCCGTCTGTCCCCGTCTGCTCTCTATATTCAGGGACCCCTCAATGGGCACCTCTGGGATATTCTTCTTGCGGGCAGAGTGGGATGACACCCAGGTGTCAGTTCTGAGCCCTCAAGGAAACTTTAATAAAAGCAAAAGATAACTTTTATGTAATAAAATATAACCTCATGCCCATAAAAATCAGCAATGAATGTATGCGCAGGAAGGTTGGAGTTGTTTAGAAGGCAGCACCAATGGGCAGTCCTGCCTCATCAAAACATCTGGTTTAGAGCGCCTTTGTCAAGAGCTCGGGCAGTGGAAGGAGGTGTCCGAGCTCTGGCATCAAATTCTGCTCCTCAGCGGAACAGCTCCAGGTAGTACTATGATCACTCATATCTACTGAGAGCTTCCTGTGTGCCAGTTCCAAGGTAAGTGCTCCACGTTCCTGATGACTTCAGTCCTTACGTCCACTCTGTGGAGTGAGCATTCCCATGACTGATGAGGAAACTGAGGCTCAGAGAAGAGACAGCATGTACCCAAAGCCATATAGCTGGTACGCAGTTGAGGCTGGGTTTGAGCCGGCATGTGATCGCTGCCTCCAAGAACTTGCAAACTCACAAAGTCCTCAGAATCTCAGTCTGTTCTTTCATAGATCAGAAAAATACTCAGTAAGGCTGTCATGGTATTTGATGAAGTGCTGGTGAAGTTATGTGCACAGCAGAGGTCTCAGTGGCTGTCCCTGTGTCTACCTTCATGCCAGACTGCTGTGACTACAGGAGCAGCATCTCCCGCAAGGTTCCCACAGAGCCCAGAGACTACCCAATGAGGATGATGCCCCTTTCTCGGAGCCTGTTTCCACATTTCTTAAGACAAGAGTCACAACACCTTCCTGGAGGAGTCTCCAGAAAGACTAAATGACTTGAGAGAATTAAAGTTCTTCGCACATAGTGGGTGCTCTGGGCAGTTCTTATTTTGTCTTCTCTGTGCCCCAAACTTCCTGGAACGGTATTTTTCTGGGTACTGCCTTGGTGGTGGGTTGGCTCTTTCCCTTGCACCCACCTCGACTAAGGCTGTCATCCAGAGATGTGTTGGGGAGTGGAGAGGCTCACATGGAGGGACCGGTACTTGACCTGGGTGGAGCCCACCGATCTCGTTCAAGGGCCTCCATCCCTTCTCACCTGGGCAACCAGTCTTTCTGAGCTTCTGCTTCCTCCTCTATAAGATGGAAATCATGGCCACACATCTTGCTTCTCTGATTCCATGCAACCCTCTGGCTCTTATTCCGGGGTCCAACTGCTACCTCCTTTACCTCCCCTGCAGGTGTTCCCAGGTGCTGAGGACCCACACTGGGGGGCTTCAGACACCGTCACAGTGAACGGTGAGGAGCTCCTGTGGTCTGAACTCCAAAGGAGGCCAGTGAGCACTCACGGGGTGGGATTACAGGGGGATGCCACAGGCCACCCCCCAGGTTTTGGGAGCATGGTTGGAACCAAGTTCACAGCACCTTACATCACACTCTGCCATGTTGCAATTTTCTTATTAATTGAGGAACTTTTTGATGATAATCTCCCCCACTAGACTGTAGAGGAAGGAAGGGCCCCAGAGAGGCATGACATGTGGGTGTCAAGAAGCTAGACTCTGAAGCTGGGATCTGAATCAAAGCTCAGCCTTCTTCTAGCTGTGTGACTTTGGGCAAGTGATGTAAGTTCTTTCCATCTCAATGTCCTCATTTGTAAGATGGAGTTTGTAACCTACCTACCTCGTTGAAGTAGGTGGTTGTGAGGACTAAGAGAATATGGCATACCTTGAGAATAGTGTCTGGCATGCAGAAGATGCTAGAGAGGTGTTTGTGAAACAAATAAGACAGCAAAGAAGAAAACAGCTAAATCACAATTGGCCTTGCTCAGAGTCAGGAGGACCTTGTTGGTCCTGCTGGTGTTAGCCAGCTTCTTGAAGCCACCTCCAGCCGATGTTCCATGATGGCTCTGTCTTCCCTTGCAGAGAATGGAGGATGATGATTATAACACCTCCACCACTTATGAAGATGACTACCTTGACGATTTCGACTCCTTGGTGGTTTCAGAAGAGTTCTCGCCCTTGGAAGTCAGGGTGGCCAGGATCTTCCTGGTGGTGGTTTACAGCATTGTCTGCTTCCTCGGGATCCTGGGCAATGGTCTGGTGATCGTCATTGCCACCTTCAAGATGAAGAGGACGGTGAACACCGTCTGGTTCCTCAACCTGGCTGTGGCGGATTTCCTGTTCAACCTCTTCCTTCCCATCCACATTGCCTATGCTGCCATGGACTACCACTGGGTTTTTGGGACGGCCATGTGCAAGATCAGCAATTTCCTGCTCATCCACAACATGTTCACGAGCGTCTTCCTGCTGACGGTCATCAGCTTCGACCGCTGCGTCTCTGTGCTCCTCCCCGTCTGGTCCCAGAACCACCGCAGCGTCCGGCTGGCCTATGTGGCCTGCGTGGCCATCTGGATCCTAGCTTTCTTCTTGAGCTCCCCATCCCTCGTCTTCCGGGACACGGCCAATCTGCATGGGAAAATATCCTGCTTCAACAACTTCAGCCTGTCCGCAGCCGGGCCGTCCCTACGACTGGACCCTGTGGGGTACAGCCGGCACATGGTGGTAACTGTCACCCGCTTCCTCTGTGGCTTCCTGGTGCCGGTCCTCATCATCACAGTCTGCTACCTCACCATCGTCTGCAAGCTGCAGCGCAACCGCCTGGCCAAGACCAAGAAGCCCTTCAAGATCATTGTGACCATCATCATCACCTTCTTCCTCTGCTGGTGCCCCTACCACACGCTCTACCTGCTGGAGCTCCACCACACTGCTGTGCCCAGCTCCGTCTTCAGCCTGGGTGTGCCCTTGGCCACCGCCATTGCCATTGCCAATAGCTGCATGAACCCCCTTCTGTACGTCTTCATGGGCCAGGACTTCAAGAAGTTCAAGGTGGCCCTCTTCTCCCGCCTGGTCAATGCTCTGAGTGAGGACACAGGCCACTCTTCCTATCCCAGCCCCAGAAGCTTTACCAAGATGTCATCGATGAACGAGAGGACTTCAATGAATGAGAAGGAGACGAGCATGCTTTGAGCCTCACCTGGGACCCTCCCACCCCAGGGATGCCCGAGGATATCTTCAGAAGACCAAGACGAGAACCTCTTTAACCCACCAGTGCCTACTGCATTTTGTGTGGGTATGAACAGTGTTTTAAGCTGAGCCTAGAACCCCTTTCTCAAAGTGGGATGGTGGACAGATCCTGCTATGTGGCCCATGGCCTTTGACTAGCAATCCATGCTTCTTGGGAAATCAGCCCTGACCAACTCAAAGCAAGAAAGAAATCATTCTCCAAAGCACTACCATGAGCTGGGCTTGACATAAGGCAATGGTTTCTCCCTATCCTGTGTGCCCTAGAAATGATGCAAACTCTCACCATGGCTCAGTCACTGAGCTCAAAACAGAGTCTGAGGAGGACTCCTTGAACTGTGCTCCTGGTATGCAGACACCAGATGCCTTCTGGGTGCAGCCGCTTGGCATGGCTTTCCTCATCTAATACTGAAAGCCTTCTGTGACAGAGTGTCATTGTCCCGTTTACAAATGACAAAGCCAAGGCTCAGAGGAGGGGAGTAACTAGCCTGTCATCACACAGCTAATCCGTGGAAGAGTTCAGATCTGAATCAGTTCTGTCTGACTCCATAGACTCTAAGTCTTATTGAGAATGTACTATGGAGACTATTCTAGACTATAATGAGAGTCCACATTTATTTAGCACTTTACACATTACGTACTTTATAGATATTGTCTTATAGCAACCCTGAGTTAGGTACAGTTATTACTGTCCTTTTGTATAGGAGGAATTCGACACTCAGAGAGGTTAAGGACCTTGCCCAAGGCCACCCAGCTACTCTCTGCTAGAGCCCAGATTTCAACCTCAGTCTGTCTGGCTCAAATGAGGCTGCAGAGCGTGGAAAGAACTTGAGAGGTTGGGGGTTTTGACCATCAATGTTTGCTCTTCTGCAAATGAAAGTGAACATCTTAAAGGCCTTTAAGAAGCTTTGCAAATAGTTTTCAAAACTGTCCCAACACAGCAAAGAAAATGCACTTGGCCTCCAGCTTCCTCGACAGCCATCAACGCCCCTCCACCCCAACTCCCTCCTCCTGCATTCCCTGAGATCAAGGCAGTGGAGAAGGAGGACTGGCAGGAGGCAGCCCCCCATGTGCCCGAGGCCTTTTGGCCCCTAAGTGTCCGTATTCTGTTCTCTTCCAAGTCCTTCGTTGTTCAGCCAATTCTCCAAGATGCAAGGAACAGACATGACATCTAACCCGAGCTGGGCATGCTCCGGAGGCCACGGGCTGCTTGGAATCACACTTCATTAGGAGACAAACTGTTCCTTCCCGTGTTGTGTCTTCGTGCTTACGACAAGGCAGCTCGGACTGACCCCAAGCTGGGGCCTCAGATTGCTTTGGTCTGACCTTGGACAGTCTGAGAGCTTGGCGCCGCCCGTAAGCCCTCTCCCTAAGTTTCAGAGGAAGCAACTTTGGCACAGGATGGCATGGGATTTGTCCCAGGTCACGGAGACAGTCATCAGCGACCTGGGACTCCTGGCTTCCAGGATGGTGCTCTTCCCTGGCCGCAGGCAGGGTGGACCAGGCCGGGCAGCCAGGAATTCATGTTGTCATTGGAAAGGCTGATACACGGGAACACATTCAAATTGGCTGTTTTCTCCCTCTTTCTGGCTGCCTCACACACCTCCCTGCTCTGACTGTAGGTTTCTGTCAAGTACTTAAATGCCACAGTGACACCACCTTCAGTCTAGTGAGCTTCCTATGGGTGTCTCCACCGGTCACAGATTTATAGTCCCTGTGGTCTGCAAATGTGCTCACCCACACCATTGCACAGGCAACCAACACACTTAGTGGCCAGGTCTGAGATGGGGCCTTAGTCCTGCCTCTGGGATGGGTTGAGTGGGTCAAGGGGGCAAGGGACAAGAGGTAGTGGGACAAGAAGAAAAGATGGTGTTTGAGTCTGAGGAAGGGATGAAAGGGGACCGAAGAGGCTCAGAGCATGACAATTAAGGAACGGGAATCTGGCATTCGTTAAGCCTCTACCAAGTATCAGGCACAAATTGGCGTGGGAATAGGATCGTCCTACTCAGGTAGGGGGTGCAGAAAGTGAGGTTAGAAGAACAGGGCTGGCTTGTACAGGGCCGTACTGCTAGTAAGTGGTGGAGCTGGGCTTTGAACCAGGCCAGCTGCCTGAGCACCTGACTTCTGCAGCCCTTGGAAGAAAAGACAAAGAGAGATAGAGAGGAGGAGAAGGAGGAGGAAGGGAAGGTAGGAAGGAGAGGGAAAGGGGAGGGGAGGAAGAGGAAGAGGGAGAAGAAAGGATAGGAAAGGGGAGGGGGGCAAAAGGGAACAAAGAGGAAAGAGCTGGAGTTCGAAGCCATCTCCAGCAGGCCCCTGAGCCAGTAGGACAGAGAGCAGGGGGGAGCAAGAACATGAAGGACCTCGGGCACCTGGATGTTCCTTGGGACCACAGCTAGATGACTCCCAGGGCACACAGAGCTATTGCAATCTTTGGGATACCCTCTCCAGAGAGGAGGCCCAGAGATTCTGGCAATCAGCCTCAGCGGGGAGTGGATCCTGGGCGCTGGTCAAGGTAGGAGTTGGGTGCAAGTCTGACCCCAGGGTCAGCTCTGGTGTGATTCAGAGCCTGGGAGGGTGGGAGAAAAGAGAATCCACTCACGGGAATCACGAGGGATCTTCAGCTTGCTCAGGTCTTCCCCAGTTCACAGATGAGAGAACTGAGGTTTCCAGGCTGGCCTTTGAGGAATCTGCAGAACAAGGTGGTGTCTGGTTGGATGGAAGTGGCTGGTGTTTCCCCAACCCCTGCCCTGCTTCTCTCGTTTGTTCCCTCCTAGCAGGTTATGCTATGGTGAGAGCCGGGGCACCTGGGGCCTGCAGCTGCCAAGCCCTGGGTTTGAAAAATTGCTGCTGGGGGAGGTATCTAGGGTGGGGGAGGAATTTGAAAGACACATCTCCTACTGTGAAATAATTAAGCGGGGGTCTGCATGCTCCCTCCCTCTGAGGGCACAATTTCTCCTGAATAAAGAGACAGAAGCAAGAATGTGTGGCTCAGTTCTGGAAGTTGCTGCCACCACTGCCCTCTCGCCTTTCCCTTCACCTCGCAGAGGAGCAGCTGAGGCTCAGAGGGGCGACGAAGTCCGCCCAAGTCACAGAGCTAGAGACAGGAGCCCAATATTTTCACCCCGCCATTCCCAAAACTTTGAACTTCAAGAAACATGCACTTTGAAAACAATTCTCTCGACTTATTCTCTGTTCCTAGCAACCAAGAATACAAAAGAGGGAGTGACTCACCCAAGATAATGTAGCAGGGCATAGCAGATACGGGCACACCCCAACTCCCACTGCCAAGTCCACACTCTTTGACCCCATATCAGGCAAACAAGGACAGAGGCTCTTCTACACACTCATCCTTTCACCAACTACACAGTCACCCATTCACCCCATGACTCCACCCATCCACTCATCCATTCACCCCAACATGCCTCCAGCTACCCATTCACCCCAAGATCTACCCCATATCTACCCTCCCATTCACCCACCTATTTACCCCAAGATTTATCTGCTCATTCACTCATCCACTCACCCCAACATTTGTCCATCCAAGTATTCACCCCAAGGTCCATCCTCCCATCTAGCCACCCATTCACTCCCAAATCCACCCATTCAGACATCTATCACCTACCAATTCACCCTAACAGTCACTCATCCAAACACCCATTCACTCCAACACCAACCCAGTCAACCATTCATATACCCCTAGTATCTACTCACCTACCCAACCCCCACCCCAACATCTATCCACTCACCCACTCATCCACCTATCAGCTCTTCCATTTACCCCATTCATCCACCCACCCATTCACCCCAAGATCTACCTCACATCTACTCTCCCATCCATCCTCCCATTCACCCCAACATCATCCACCCATCCATTCATCCATTCTCCCCAATATCCACCCATTTAGCCATCTACCCACCAGTCCACCTTAACATTCGTCCACCCACTCATTCATTCATTCACCCCAACATCATCCACCTACTTACCACAGCACCCATCTGCCCACCTACTCACTCCAAAATCCGCCCTCCACCCACTCATTCTGATGTCCAGCCATCCATCTGCCTGCCCACTCACCTGTACATCCATCTATATATCCACCCAGTCATTCATTCCATAAACAGGTAATGAGCATCTGCTCTTTGCCAGCTTCTGTGGCAGGCACTGGGGGCTCAGGAGTGATCTCTGTTCTCATGAGCTCATTCACTGGCTGGTGGAAGAGACAGCCAATAATAAAAAAAATACCCCTCAATGGAAAACAGCCAATAAGTGCTGCACACATATTATAGAGGGATCTGACCAAGGTCCTGGGGAGGAGACACATGTGTTTCGTGTGAAGGATGGGTTGGCACTGATGTGGTGGGGTGGGGTGGGAGGAGGGTGCCAGTGGAGGGGCAGCAAGGGCGGATGCAGACAGGAGCAGTGACCACAGGGACAGGAAGAGGGGCGGGCTCTGTGAGGGCATGGGATGAGGCAGGGGGGAGTCCTCCTGTAGAGAAGGCAGCCATGCATAGGGGCGGGCCATGCTCAAACCTGCACCTGCAGTCATGCCCCCGGCTGCTCTGGGGAGGACCCCTTGGAGCGGGGCAGGGGGGGAAGCCAGAAGGTTGCTGCAGCCTCGGCTGAGCCGTAACAGAGCTGCGCGAGGAAATCAAGGTAGAGCGCAAGAGAAGTGGACTGCTGGAGAGATATTTAAAAGCTGCCCAGCCTTCTCGCGGGAGCGGTTAGTGGGAAACCAGCTCAGGGCCCATCTCAGCTGCACAGAGGCAGAACTTTATTGGCGGAAATTAATTGTAAATATTATTCAAATTTACCTCCCAATGCACAATTATGTTTCTCAAGGGAGCCCTGTGAACACATAATAAGGCCCCTATAAATAATACATATATTAACCTAAGAGGCACAGTAATGCTGCAGTTGCGGGTGCAGGGATTTATATGGATGAGATGCCGAGCACTTGGCCTTAGAGCTTAACTTTGGAGGTCCCTTGAGTTCTGTACTGGGGGGTCTTCCAGGAAGGAGTCTCTCCCTTGGGATAGAAGGACCCCCCTCGACAAGTCAGTTACTGCTCTAGACACCTGGTCTACTTGC